TTCAAGGTCTTTGATGAACAATCTGTCCATCAGCGTTACCTCAGCAATCTGCTGGATGCTGGGCTTCACTGAACAAGTCCCTGCTTTGTTGCCTCCCCTACTGCTTTTAACATTTTCTCCCCCGCGCTTTTTACCCAACAATAGTTCCTTGTTTGTCCTTTGAGGAATTATCATCATTCTGATGAAGAGGTCAGAGGATTTCCAGGCCATATTCAATTTACTCTTTCCCCCAAACTGGGAAATTTTTAGATCTCTTCCCAGACCGTATTATTCCTCCAATTAAGTTCCCCAGCAGTTTCACTCCTGAAATCTGGCAATTCTGTAATTCTGGTTTTGCAGTCCTAAATTCAAGTGCTTCATTCCTTTGTTACAGAGGATTTTGCACCATATAAGGAGTAAAAACCAGGATAAAATAACAATAACCACGAAAGCAATCCTCCATACGATATCTCAACCCCCTTAAAGTATAGTGTGGACGTGGTACAGGGACCATGCTTGGAGCTCCAGTTTTGCACTTGGGAGAGAGAAAGACAGCACAAAACTCTCTGTTTCTTTACGGTGGCTGCTGACCCTTTTCTTCCAAAAACTCCCTGGCGCCATTTCAGGAGTTACTCACCTATACGTACTTAGTTGTCTGATCACTGGCCCAGAGCTATTTAGAGGTGAATTGTGTTTCTCACACAGATCTCAAGTCAGCAAATAAGAGTACTTGTCAGCTGAGTCATTTGTGCTAGCTTTGCATTAAGCACCATGGCTGGAGGGGATGTACGGCAGAATTTAGGCCAAGTAGGAGGGCAAAAGCTCAGCATCACTCAACAGCAAACTCCATGCAACCGGGTCAAAAAAGCAGGCAGAGTTCAAATGAGAGCATGTCATAGCTTCATGAAAGAAGATCTGGCTCTCCCGATAGCCTCGGAAGCAGGAGTATCTCCACTGGCATGAGGCTGACCTGAGGTGTCACTCACACAACCTGATGGGGTACCCACACGTGAGCACAGCATGACAGGGAGAGGACAGGCAAGACAAACTATTCTCAGAACCACACTGTACACCCCAAAATTGCAACCTGTGGCATGCGAAGTGCAAATTTTATGCAGAAAACTGGATGGAGGAAAAGGAAAGCATGAATATCAACATAAAGTCCATTAAACTGCTCAGGACAGGGAGAGCAGAAAAGGTGGGTATTCAAGAGACCATCTGGTCTCATTCCCGAACACATTTTCTTTTCCTCATTTGAATGTGTAATCAAAAAAATGTCTACAAAATCACTCCAAGGTCTGCCTCTGGGTTTCTGTCTGCTCAGAGGCCCATGGTCCTGATGCTGCAAAGCGGCAATACAAAGAGATCACAAAGTGTTCCCTGCAACAACCAGCTTCATTTTCCTACCTGTTCGATTGCAGTTCCTAAAATTAATAATCTCACCCCGCTCTTTGAAAAGATTACTAAACTACCCCTACAGATAGGCCCTGCCTGAAAATAATGGTCCAGATCTGAAGTCCTCACGTCTCTAAAATTCAGATTCAGGATTTTGTTCAGACACATTCTAGAGAAATGGTGGTGTCGGTGATAAAGCTGCTGTGCTCCTCTCCAAATATCCCTCCCCAAAGCTTGGGGGCAACTTGAGGTAAAAATCCAAGCTCATTTGAAAATTGTAGGGAGGTTACAAAGATTTCAAAGCCATGCAAAATCCAGCAGCAAGCACAGCCAAGCTACCACCCAGCAAAGCAGCCTTCAAAACACACTGCATGTTCAAAGGGCTCGTAGGTTTTCCTCGTGTTGGGCATCTTCCTAATAGTCTCCAGTGAGAGTGGGGAACGGCAGCACTGAAGCACAACAGTAAAACACATGCACAAGGCAAGGTCCCTGCAGCCAAGTCCAGCCTGTAAATTTGGGCAGCTGACATTACAGATGTTTTCCCATTGCCCTGTTGCTAAGACTGGCTGTTCTGAAAAGACAGATTGAGACAGGTCAGTGGGCACACACAAAACACTGCTCAGACACCTAGAAATATATTGGGTCAATGAACTACACCAAGACATGGGACTGAGTTTCTGGTCACCATTTAAGAGATTAAATTGATGCCGTGTCAATAAACAAACAGTAAAGGAGATTGCAGAAATCTTTTTCCCTTTCCATCTCTTCCCTTCGCTGCTACTTTTTCCTCTGCCCCATTTCTGAGCCTCAGTACCAAGCCCCAAGGTTTTAAAGCAGCACAGCAGCAAGGATTGCTGGAGGGGATCAATGCTAGGATCAATTTTCTCTCGATACATGATAGCCTGTTCCAGGGAGAAGGGAGAAGGCAGGGTGAAGGCAAGAGCTCTATATCAGCAATCACGAACCCACATCAGCCCCCACGGTGTAAAAGGCTGCAAAGTTTCCTGATAACATAGGGCAGAGCCAAAGAAAACAAACAATGTTGTGGTATTCCTGCCTGGGAGGCACAAATTCTCCATCACCTCCAAGCTTCCTGAGCCCCCATCAAAACGATTACATTATAAAAACTGCTGAAACCAGAGCTTTTCAGGGAGACCAGTCAAGAAGTCACAGCACAACAAAAAAGTAAGCGGGGGGTGTTGTAAGGGTGGGAGCCCTTCTTCCCGTGGTGGCTGTATATTGGCATGTATTAAACATAGACACAACAATAAGCAATAAATCACAGCCCAGGAGAAGTGCCAGGTGGAATGCACTGGAGGAAATTAAAACATCCTTCTCGATACAGTTCAGTATTGAAAGAAGTACAAAGGAGGCCAAGTTGACTTATCACCTACATAGCCAGGATGCTAAGGGCAAAAAGGGTTCCAACATTTGCAGCTGAAAAATTTGCAGTTGAATAATTTCCTACAAAGAGCTTAGCTTAAAAAGTAATAATAATATAACAAACATCCTTTTAAACAAATAAATAAATAATGGCCTTCCTTGGCGTTCCTAAGTTTTCTTCCTTTTTTCCTCCTTTTTTCAAATGCACAGTCCCTCCACGAGACTCAGCCATGGGGCAAAGGATCCACTGCAATGTAAACAAGTACACTAGCTGGCCGGCACCTGAATTCAGCAAATTCTGACCTCCCACATCGCCAAACGTATGCACCCACCGTGCTGTCAGGTGACTCTACCTCATGTACTTTGGTATTGCCCAGTGGCTGGCTTAAATTGCCTAAAAGTATCATGAAAGCAGTCAAGAGAGGCAGAGTTTGAGTCTCCATTCCCCAAAGAGCTGGACTGCTTCCTTATTTCACTGAAAAATGCCTCCAGAAACTTTGTGTTAGAAAAAAACGGTATTTGTACACAAGCTTGCCAGTAATTTCAGCCAGGACTCAGTGCCGTACAATGCATAAAACTGAGGCTGCTTGCGGCCACCAGCAGGCAAGGGAACTTCTTTGGAGCCCGGTTTTTGTTAAGCTTATACTAGCAGGGCACTGCCCTGCAGCCCACAGGTCCTAAATTGATGGTGCTCCTGTGGGGTACCCCCACCCATCTGCCCTCCAGGCACCGCTGCTTTTTCCCTGCTTGTCCCTTTTTTAGGCAGTTGAGCAAACCTCCACCATTTGAGTTTTAATGGAAGTGTCATACAAAGTACTTACGCAGGCTGAAACTGGGACACGATCTATAAATTACCGGAAACCTGAACTCAAGATGAGGAAAAGAAAGAAAAGGAAGAACTCATTTCTCTTGAAACTGGATCATATATATGTATATACACATAAATATTCTCAAACTGAAACTCTCCAGGACAGCCTGAAGAGGACAGCTGTTATGTTCTACCTTTTTAAATCTCTGCTTTTAAGGGCTGAGGACAGGATGGCATTTTCCAACTGTGGTTCTCTTTCTCTTACTAAACACTTTTGTGTCAGCCTGTCTGTATAAGCAACTAAACCTTTACACATTAAACACTTCTGTGTCAAACTTGCAGTAATGACCAAGTTACATTTTCTGAAAGGGATAATTAAGAGGTTCAGTGAAAATAGAAAGAGCTGGTATTTTTATATTTAGACAGACATGAATTTAGTACAAGCTGATAGATAAACTCTACTTGTTGAAAATAAAATGATGGTGACATTTTCTGTATCAGGTTTTTTTTTGGCAAGAGAACAGGGACATCTTGCAGTAGGCCACGAAAGAGGGAATCCGTTTGGACGTTGCTAACAAAATCCTTCCTCTTGTCTAGCACAGAGGACATCAGTTTCAGACAAAACTCTAGTCAAGGAAAGCAAGCAAAGGCAAGAGAGGAAAAGGAAGAATGTTTTTAAGAGATGTAAACAAGCAGTTACCCACAGCAGACCCCACTACACACTCAGGGAGATTATTTGAGCATATGTCTCCATCAGTTGGTAACACACTCTTTCACCTGCTTAAATGGGGGGATACCATTTGGATGCAGAAACCTTCTACATACATTTCTGGGTGGAACACTGCTCCGGAGCCAGCCAGCTCCGGCTGACAGCTAAAAAAGGTCTTTTTTCCTACTCCCTTTAAAAGGTACAATCAAGGCACAGAATCTACCCAGGTGTAAGGGGTGTCACACATAGTTGAGATGAGCTATTGGATTCCAAAAGCAATAACAAGTTGCCATGCAGCCCAGCCCTGCCTCATCAGATGTTTGTGAGGTGATCACGCGGATAAGCCAGGATATGCTGGCTGCAACCCAAATTCAGAAACCTGCAGCCATACTGCCAATAAGAACTACTAGCAAAACACATGGAGTTAATAAAAGCAACACGGAAATGTCAAGTTAAAAAAAAAAGCAGTAAATATTGCAAGCCTTTCCTTGGTAAACATACAATTAATTTCTGATGAGGACTAATTAATATTTACCAAAAAAAATATTGCTCATTCTCATTGCTCCTGTCATGAATGTATCTATCAGGAGATGCACTTTCAACAGTGTCTTTTGTCTTGTAGTGATGAAAAAAAGCCTTCTAAACTGAATCAGACTATAATATGTTTCCCTGGTGCTTTTCTTTTTAACCTGAAGTGGAATATATCAGAGCTGTAAATTTGCTTACCCTTCTGTTCTGTACATGGAGCATCTCTCCAGAGGAATTTTAAGCACTCCATTATTTAAGCCCACAAAGAGCGACCTGTCGCTGTGCAGGATTTGGAGACTCTTGATTGCTTCCCGTTGTCCATCGGGGAGGATCTGCATTTCCTCTAAATAACAGCTCCTTAGGCTCCTGTTAGTGCTAGAAAGGGCCTTCAAGATGGTGCCGTACTCTAATGGAACAAGAAACAAGACATGAGTAAATCTTGGAGGCATTGACTTCATTTCATACCTGCCTAAAGAGGGAAATATTAATGTCATCTTTACACAGCCACTTTAAACCTAGTTCTGGGTCACCTGCTGCATGTGGTAGAAAGAGCTCCAGCTACATCGTTACAATCCTCAGCAGTTCTCAGACACTCCAGAAACCGCCTGTGAATGCATTTCAATGAGAATCCAGAAGGATGTGAACCATCTGGAGAGTGAATACCTGGAAATATTTCCCAGTTGGAGCACTGAGGCAGAAAAGATTCTGCTCCCCTTACCAGTGAGTTATACAGCAAGGTGACCTGAGATAGCAGGGATCATTTCTGGTGCCTCGAGTCTGTATTTCTTTTGGTTTATGGAGCAGATCGGTGTGATTTGATGCCATGACAAATGACAACAGATGCAGCGGCCCTGCTGGAAATCTCAGAGGTCTCCGTAATGACTGCATGGGTCACGGATCTAATTGATCCTCTTCCTGGAAGAAGCCGTCCTGCCAGCTTGACAAGGGGATGTCATGGCATGAGCTGTGCATACACAGAAACTTATATGTTTGTCTTCACAGTGCTCTTACCTAAACAACTTAAAGATGTGATAAACTGTGGGAGTTTTATGCTGGGGAAAAGGGGGCAACCACACCATTTTTCATTAAAACCCCAAAGAGGTCTGTCAGCCCCGATTGTTCCTGAAGCTTAATTTTTCTATCCTGGTAACTTCTGTATTGGCACCAAAGCTCAGCAATTTACAGTGGCAGGGTTGGCTGCCATGCAGTGCTTCTCTTTCACTTAGAAGGGCCTTAAGTGTGGAACAAGACTGAGGCCCAGGTTGGGGCTCGGTTTGTCTCAGGACTGGGTTTGTGTTCAGGGCTGCCTCTGGGCAGGGACATCTACTGAAGTATTTGACTGATTTAAATGTTTCAGGTCCAGCAGAGCTTACTCTTCAGTCACCACTAACCAGGGCCAGAAAGCAAACACGAATAAGGAGGTAAGGTTATGGCAGTGGACCTTTCTACACAAATGATACGAGGCAGAAAGTATCCCAGCTTTCTCTCAGGCTTTGTAGCTGGGACTCCTCACTTAAAATATCAAGATATCAAAATGGCAGAACCACATTGTGTTTCCATTTAAGTACAATCTTCTCATCATAATCAATGTCCATGGAGGCTCCCACAGGGGGAATGTTACTAGAACACATCCAAGATGATCACTTTTGAAATAAGTGGTGGTAAAAGTTAGATAAATTATGACACAGTCCTGGAAGGTGGTAACATGAGAATGAGGCAATGACTCTGCATTCAGATGTGAGATTAAACTAACACTTATGGAGGCAATCCATCTTATTCTAAAGTCAAAGCTTCTGCAATAGAGGATAACAACATTATACCCATGAGGCTGGCCATATGCTCTGATTAATCAAACTATTTAATTTAACCTCTATCATTAGTATGAATATGGGCTAAGACAACCATTTATAACACTTTGTCCTTCTTCAGCATCTTTCATTTATCCAAGATTTCTGTGCTTTTCAGAAGAGGCAATGTGTCCTGCTAATTACAGAATGGCAGTAGAAATCAAGAGACTAAATCATATACTTAATTCTACCACTGGCTTGCTATGCTACCACAAAAAAGCACTTGCCTCAGCTTCCCCATCTGCATTACATCTCAGTGCATGCCCATTCCCGAAAGCACTGGGAGTCATACGCCAGCAGGCACATGGAAGTGCAAAGAAAGACATAATTAAAACCTTGGGCAAGCCTGGAGGTTAAGTATTATTATTGCTTATTTAGAGATGAGTATGTCATAGCGCAGGGAGGCTACTTACATGCACAAAACCACAGAGCATTTCAGTGACCTTTGCTCTTCCCCACTGTTGTGTATTAGCCTGATTAGTTGAAACATGTTTTTATACAAGGGAGAAAAATGTTATTGTTGTTTTTAAACACAATGTAGATTTATGGTCTGTTCACTTGGGACTCTGCCTCAGGTCCTCCATCCTGCTTTTAATTTACTCAGGCAAACTAACTTCCATGCAGTTTTGTGCCAAAATGGTATTGAATGACAACTGTGTAATGACATCACGACCAGGGTCCCAGAGCTGCTAGGTCTACGAGCAAGTGGAGGGAATTTTCTCAAGCCCTGATGCTCTTACCTGTTCCAATATACATCACGTGGTAGAGAGTATCCTTCCCCTGAACAATATCAACCACCAGCTTGGAAAATCGAATGCTGTCCTGAGTCACGTACGGATCTACAGTCACCGGCTGCACGACGTCATTCATCAGGAACAAGCGCTGCGCATCCTGCAGGACTCTCTCCGTCAGGTTCTCGTTAGGGCTGTCATCACTCAGCGTCCCACACTAAACATGGAAGATTGCACTTCAGCACCTGCATTTTCTCCCCACTCCAGCAGCCTAAGACCAAACCCTGGAATTCTTCTGGAAACCCATGTCCTGTTGATTTCCTGGGGAGGTGGGTCTGTGTGAGGGTCACAGGATCAGGCCCTTAGCCTGATCATAGGTCCTCAGCCTACTGGTCCACTGACCAGCGATGTGGTGTTTCATTCCCTTGTGATACCCTGCAGCCAGCACATCAGAAGGGCAAAAGGCATTAACAAACCGAGGAGGAAAACAAAGAATTAAAACTAGCTGTAGAAAGATTTAAAGCTAGCAGTGGACAGAAAGTTTTTGCGGTGATAAATCCTTGGTGCATTTCAAATAATCTTCAGACTCTACCTGGCATCTCAGTCTACACAATGCATGGAAACTGGAGGTTAAAAAACCTGAAAAACGGGTTGGTTTTGCATCAAAGAACCCAACTCACCACATTGCTTTTCTCTGATGTGCTCCATTCTGAACAGACCACTCCGGTTTCATTTGAAGCAAGTCAGGTTAGCCACTAGCTCCCCCCTCCCCACATGCAGCTCTTCTATCACCACAGTGCATGGCAGATCAGCCTGTGTTCATCCATCCTCTGGCACCAAGGGGTGCACTGAAATAGGACTCAATGCCCTTGTCCATCCAGAACAGGAGGGAAGAAGAGAGCTCATCTTGTGTTCTTTTCCACACTAACGTAACTCCTACCAGGTGGATAGCACATTTTAAAGCTTGAGTTTCTATCTCACGCTAATCTCTAGAATTCAGCATTTTTCAAAAGCCAATGCAAGATCAAACTGTCCATGTCAGTAATCAGAGCTGGATCTTCACTCTTCCCCACAATGCCATGCATGGTGGGCAGAAGATTTAGTACCCCAAAAGACAGCTGGGTGACTGGTTATATATCTTGCTCAAGGCCATGGGAGTCAGTGGTACAACTAGAAATCCTGCTGACTCCCATACTCAGTCCATGGAAAACTTCGCTTCTCACTAAGTGAAGCTCACACCTGAGTAACTTCATTAGAAAAAAACCCACAAATTTATTTTTCTTCATTTTGGGTCCAGGCATTTGGGCTTTCCTTGGAAAAGAAGTTAGTATACTGTGAATTAGGATGTCAATTTACAGCACTCCAGCTACAGTGTGCAAATTTCCCATGTGCATACTCTCGATATGCATCAAAGCAATTCTTTGCAGCGTGGCCGCCTTTCCACGGTGCACCATGCAGAGCTTCTCTTTACAAGGTGCTACAATGAGTTGACAGGAATTTAGCTCACATTTACACAATAAACACAGATCCTAACGGCTGGTGTACTAAGCCCTACAATATTTTGGAGCTTGTGTGAACTAGGTGAACAGGGTGATACTAATTCCCACCAACTATGAACATGGTCATTTTTTTATCAGCTTAGGCATCTTCCTGAGTAGCCAGACTAAGGAAACTTCAGTGGGTTTTTGATGTGTCCTCAAGTGGGTTTTAATGGTTTTTTTTCTATTGCAATGGTCTTTTTTAGTTCATGACTCATCCCACGTTCTAAAGAGTTTTTAGATCTCTCTCTTCTGCTGTATCCTGTACTCCTTTTGGTTTACAGTACTGTCTTGCTTTGCATGCTTTTATCCCCACTCACTTTCTGTTCTAGAGTGTCACTGAAGGAGGAGTCCCAGTGGCAGGAATGTCATTGTTGGTTTTGTTTTCTATTCTCATCAAGTCACAGATAATCCTTTTGGTCTATTGGCAGCCCACGTGCTGACACAGCATCCCTCTGTTTTGGTTTTATTTTGTTTTGTTCTAATTTCCTGATTATCTGCACTGCCCTGATCCTCTATATCCTTCAGTATTTCTCCTTCCTCCCTGCAAGAAAAAAAAAATAATTCTGGCATGCTTCCCTCATCTTCCTTTGTGAACACTGAGGCAAAAAAATTAATTTAATTTTTTTGCGATATCTGCCTCTTCTGTCACTAAATTACCCTTGTCATCTCCTAAAAGCCCTTCACTGACCTCTTGTTCCTCCTGCACTTGAAAAACATCTTAATCTCTTCTTGCAATCTTCCTTTTGTCTGCCACATACCTCCTTTTCCTTTCCTTATTTTCCTCTGACCCTTTTCTTTCATCTTGCTGCTGCAATCTTTGCACTCCACATTTTATCTGATACTTTTCACTACATGGAAATGCTTTCCAAAGTCCTTTTCTATTCCTCCTGGGTTAGCCCAGCAAGGGACAGAAAGTCCTCGATTCTCAGTTAACCTTAACATTCCCTTTAAACTCAAAAAAAAAAAAAAAAAGAGAGAGAGAAGAAAAAAAGACTGCCCATGTTTGGCACGGCAGGGCCTTCAGCGAAGCTTTGTTCCTTGGTTTTGAGTGCACCAAGCAGAGGGGACGATCGAGAGCCCAAACCTGTCCCACCTTGTACAGGCAGAAGCTCTCACTCAGGTGCCATGAGGGAATTCAGGGGGAGAAATCAGGTTCCTCAGCAGGAACCAAGCACATCCCTGCCTGCATCATGGACCTGCCTCCCATCTGCTCTTGCTGGGATTTCAGGCAACTGCAGAGTCCTTTTTGGAAGTTCCCTGACATCACCAGCTTGAAGGGAGATGGCATTTGCAGGCAGACTCAGGACCTTTGCCATAATAAAGGAGAGCCAGATTCACACAATCGGGCTGAAAGGATTCATCACAGGGAAGCGAGGACAGGAAGACAAGTCCATCCTCCCTAGGACTCCCCACGTGGGAAGGGACTGCGCTGTGAAATGGGCTTATGCTTCAGAAGACTCAGGTTTGCAGGGGCTGTCACACGCATACTCTGCACCACACTGACTGAATCTGGGCATAAAGCAACTGAAGTTGTTCTATAATTTTCAAATTGGCCTTAACTGATAATCCTGGAAAGTTGCTCATTCATAAAACCAAAGATTTTTAAGGTGAGAAGGAACCACTGTGACCATCTTCATGTGTCCTCCTTCACCAGTTACTGCTGTAACATGTCCATAATTTCTGGCTGAGCTACCGTGTCTTGGAAAGACATCCATCTTGCACTGAAACACTGGTAGCCTTAGGGGCCCTATCAAGTGATGGAAAATTCATCATATCCTTACACAGTCACAGTGGTTAATTACCTTTCTTGTTTAAAAATATAGATTGTCTCCGTTCTAGCTTGACTTTGTCCAGCTTCAGCTTTCAATCCTTCCAGTTTCAGCGGGGACATGTCTCTATGTCCCCTAGTGAGGATCACATTCTTGGAGTTTATGTGTCAGTGATGATTGTAACAAAGATTTAAATTATTCATTATTACAAAAAATCTGAATATTCTTATTATCGGTAAAACCATTCATTTTTTGCCATGAATCCCGTAGTCTCAATAACACATGGCAAGAAGTTCCACAGACTAAAACACTCATAAATGTGGAGAAATACAATTTACCTGCACCACGGGTCTACCTGGAAAAATGAGCCCCACACAAATCAACCCACTGAAGTGACAGAACATAAAAGGGACTGGAGTAAATGAAGGGCAGCAGCATTACCTGGAAATTAGGGATGGGGTTTAATGTTGGCAGCCAGGCTGATCTTGGGTTTTCTTGGTAACGGAAAGGGCCATTAAATGCCTGAGTAATGGCACTAAGATTGAAGGCACACACTGCTGAGGCAGCTATGCTGTTTCTGAAAAAGGGGAGAAAGAAATCAATTTAATCATTAGAACATTGACATTTTCATCATAACAGACACCAAACTCCTCTCAAATAAAATAGATGTAAATTGTTAGGTAGATGTACAGTGATACCAATCTCACAGGGAGTAAAAATAAATAAATAAATTGTAAAATACAGATGGCTTGCATGGCAATTTTGAGAATCAATTTTAAGCTTGGTTTTAAAATGTCTGTGATTTAAGGGCCATGGAAGCAGTTCTGACAAGAAAGGTGAATACAGTTTAATTTGCATGGATTATTTGTGTCTGGTTTTATTTTTATTTTTTTTAACAACCTATCTATCTTTATTGATTACAAACAACCTAATTTTTAATCTCTTGGTGTTTCTCAAGGTGAAATTCTGTTTCTACAGGCTCCTGAAATATTCAGCTATAAAATATATCTCCTAATATTTTTATCTATCTATCTAGGTAGATAGATAGATAGATAGATATAAATAAAAATAAAATACACACACGCATGCATATACATGCAGGGGAAGGGAAAGGGTGACAGTGCAAGCCAGGCTGGTTGTTACAGCAGCTCAGCACGCAAAAAGGTCTTGCTAATATGTGAAAGCCTCTGTTTTCAATGATCACAGTTCACTTCTTTGTGTTCCCAGCTGGGAATAGCATCTGTCTCAGGCAGACTGTTCACCACGCACGTACCAGCCAGGGGAGGCAAGGCTAGGGAAATGCCACTGTAGGAAGGATTCTTTGGAAGGGAATTTATTTTAGCAATGCTTCACTGCCCAGTCAGACTTGCACCCAGATTAGTCGGCCTTCGCTGTCTCGTTTCAGTCACGGAGGACCCATTTCTGCAAGGTCCTGAGCAGGCTCAGCAACTTTTGCCTCAAGAGGGTTGGAGGGTGCTTCCCAGATGGTGAGGGCACCTCAGTGAAGCTGGCCCAGAAAGGAATGTTTGCTAAGTGGTAACCTGAAATTCAAACCTGCTCCCAGCCCTCCCCTTCCCTCCTGCTTTTTTTTTTTAAAGAAAAAGAAAAACGTTTAGAGCAAAAGATATCAGAATAAAACTAAAAATAGTGCTAGCATCAGAGACTGACTCGTCACGGTGCCTTTTAAGTAACCCAAGTGCTGCTGTATGTATCTTTCTGCTAATTAAAGCAATTTGAATTCTCTGAAAAAAACCCCTTTTTTTTTTTTTTTTTTACTAAACCAATAATTACACTCTCTTGCACAAAAAAACCCGCCTTGCTCCACAATCCCAGGCTGGAAAGCAGAAGAACAGATTCTTTCACTGCATATTTCTTCTGAGCAATACAACATCAGGAAGAACTTCTTGCTTTGCCTTCCCGTTCTCTGCTCTTGCCCCTGCCCCTTCCATCCCCAGAGTGATGGAGTAGCTCACTTTGAACATGTCAAAGCAACGCCAGGCAAACCTTTCTCCACTTTTGTCTGAACACCGCTGACGCAGTGCATGCTCACAGACGGCAGCTCTTAAGACAAAGCTAATGATGGATGACAAGTAAATGCCTTGAGGCACACACGGAAAAAAAAAGAGAATGAGAAAGAAAATGAAAAAGGAAAAGAAAGAATAAAACCCCACTAGTCTAACAAAAATACTTAAAAAAAAAAAGTGTATTTTTAGGGCCCTGCTAAGGACTCCACAGTTTAGCCCTTTCCCTTTGCTAGACAGGAGAAAGGAAAGAGGTTTTCCATTAAACCTGTGGCCCATTTTCCTTTCCATCTGTGGCCTGGCATATTTCCCTTCCCTCCCTATGAAAAGTTTGGTCCCAGTCTCAAGCCAGTGACATCAACTTGTGCAGCTGGCCCCTGTGCTGTCCTGGTGTGAAGTGCAACCTCCTTTATTCCCACCTCCTACTTCCTGTGATTAACTAGGTGGTTTAGAGAATGGGTTAAGTTCAAGGAGGTTTTAACATTGTCTCTACTACCTCCCAGAAAAATTTTAATAAAAACATCTTAAATATTTCATCAGCAGCTTCCCCCAAAAGCTCTCTTTCCCACTGATTCAGCTGGGCATAACATAACATGAAGCAATAAATCTACCTGTGGGTGTTACCACAACCACTAATATCGCTTTCTTATAAGATGACCCTAAATGCATTAAACATGAACTTTCCAAAATAAAAATACCTTTAAACAAACAAAAAAAATCATAGTTTTGTGATGCATTGGTATTCTATTATAAAGAAACTCAGACTGGAGCATACATCAACGCTCTTTGGTATGCAGAGCTCATGCAGCATGACATAAGTCCCAGTGGAAGTTAAAAGAATAATTACCATTATTTCTCTAGTCAGATGACAAATTGGAACATTTTCTCTTTGAACTCTCAAAAGAACATCATGTTGTAGACCCAAAACGCTACTTGATCTAGCTTCAGCTATTATCAATAACTCATTTCTTCAATTACACAAATGTTACATATTATATTGTCCTCAGAAGATACAAGAGAGAATGTACACCTGTAATGTATGAAGAGTGACTTAAGTGTAACCCAAAGGAGACAGGTAACACTCATCACGTCTCATGTTAAACCTGGGAGACAGATGCAGCAGAAGAGAACTGTTCCAACCAGAGCTAGCTTATGTCTCCCCACTTATAGTCCAAAAACTATACTGATTTGATAAATATAATACAGTTATTAATAATTTTCTCATTTCCAACTTCTGTTCTTGGCTAGATAAATGGACAAATGGATAGATAAAACATTACCACTATGGGCATAGAAGTCCACTCGGGAGGTGGGGGGAGGAAGTGTCATCTCAAATGCCCAAAGCAGTAGCCGGGTTTCCTTTTAATGTTCAGGAAGTTTGGCTAACATCCTCTAAAGGTTCTTAGAGAATGACTCACGCTGCTCTCAATGCCAGGACAGGTTTTCCCCGAAGTCCACAGTCAAGGTGCAGTGCTTAATAATGTTTGGGTTTTTTTAGTTGCTTCTCCCCCTGCTCACTTTTGGCTGACATTGGCAATGGTAGTGCAGAAACAACACATGGAAGATGGATGAGGGTGGCCAAAAACCTACTTCTTGGCATTTACAGAGCAGGAATAACATTCAGGCTCTGTTGACTCTCATAGTGAAGCTCCCAACAGTGCTTTAGCTCAAGAAGTTGGGACTGATGCTTTGTGAGTTCAAGGGCTGAAGTTCAAGCCCTGTCACACCAGCGATACATTAAAATAGGAAGGCCTGTACTTCACTGGAGCTTCACTTCTTTGGTTTGCTGTGGGCTTCTTGGGAACAGACCCTTATTTACATTCAACAGTACACCACTGCACACAAAAACCCCAAAGAAGTTGGCTACCCAGCATGAGTAAGGCACTTTGGGTGTTTGTCGTGTGAAGTAACTAACTCAGATTTTCATTCTCTAGTTTACACATCAGGATAACACCCCCCTGGAGAACATGTATTATTGAAACTCAATACCACGCAGACTGGTTATAGCTTGAAACTCATCATCCTAGCCTTGGGCTTCAGAGAAAAAGTTATTTGAGTTTTCCTGGCTTAAAAATATACATTATGAGTTTTTTAATATATTTTTTAATTAACTCCTCTTCTCCTTTCTGCTTTCACAGCTACACTAAATCATACCAATTACAAGTTTTTTCAATATCAAGCCAAAAAGAGGCGATTATGAAGTTTCAGAAATCATGCCTTCCCCTCGGAGTTCCAATGCTGCTTTTGATTTGTGGATCTGAAACAGTCTGTAGTGGAGGTACAGTCCCCCTTGGAAATGTCAAATGTTGTGTAGCCTGCATGACCTTGCTTCTATAAAGTGTTGATCAACAGTAATTTACGTTGATTTCAGTCTAGGCTGTTGTGATCCCATCTGCCTCATTCTCCTCCTTCCAGTCCTTCTCTCCTAAGCATATGTACCTGTCCACCTCATGGGCCAGCCCCGATGTTCACACAGTTGTGTCAGGTTGTCCAGGCAGTTAACCTGGCTGAAAATTAATTACATTTTTCTGTTGGGTCATTTTTAGACCAGTGCTCTGAACTACACAAGTAGCTTTGCCACTACAAAAAGTCAGAAATCTGTCACAGCCTAGGTTTATATCAAATTAAGTTACCCTAGAACTGCACAGTCACCTTTTATGGACTTCAGGAATCTATGAACCATGGATTAAAAACATTGCCCTAAAGGCTGTGTTGCCATGATGGATAACACAGACCTATCTATTCCTTCACGTTAACCAAAGGATCTTTCAAAAACGATTGCTCAGACTGTCTAAAAAATCAGGATATTGTCACTCTCAGACTGCTGGGGATAGAAGAAGGGCAGTAAAACCAGTGCAACTTACACATTAGTAGTGAAGACACCATAGATCAGATCTTGCTCAGGAAGGTAGAAGGTGCTTTGCAATTCATTATAATAGAAAGGGATTTCTCCAGCACGGGAGCAGTTCAGCCTGGCCTTCATGAAAGTTGTCCATGTGTCCTCCAGCAAAAATCTCCCTCCAATATCATTTTTGCAAACCCTTGCCACACGAGAATACACTGTTTTCCCACAGTCATGTTCTACTGCATTCTCACGGAAGAAGAAATAGGTGAATAAACCAATGTCGTAGGCAGCAATAAAGTTAGGCTCTGAAAAACAAACATTTGAAGAGATTTATACAGGTCAGAAATCAATCCGTGCTCACTGACTTGCTCAATGCATTGCACCACCAGCTCCCTTTATGCAGGCTGTCAAAGCTGGGACCACAGGGAGTTTGGAGTCAGCAGAGGACATAAAAACTGTAGATGGGAATAATGATATATGGGGAAACAGCTCTAGCTCCATTTTTCAGATCTTGGAAAAACCCCATTGTTTCCCCACTTTATTGGCAAAGCTGCTACTGATTTCAGGGAAAGCAGAGTTCAACACTTTGCATATGCATGACTATTCTATGTACCTATACTCATTTTACAACATAAAGCCTTCCCATTGGGTTCCTTCACCTATTCACTTCTGAAGTGCACCTTATGATGTGTTAAATATGCTGCGTGCATCCGCCCAATTCCCCAGACTGCTGCACTGAAACATTCAACCTACTCTCCCAGCGCAATCACATCTGGCTTTTATCACGAAGCCTTTCCAGTTTCTATGCACAAAAGATTATCTTATGTCTGTAAAACAAAACCATGCCACAGACCGACAGTGTTGAAGCAAGCTCTCCTTAATTCTTTTTCTCCTAGAATTATTGTTATTATTTTCACAAGAATTGAAAAGAACCTTGAATTCGTTTTGTAGTGAATATTTTAACTGGGTATTTAACAAAGCTTTAAAGTGTACGGTCTTTTATCTCAACAGCTTCTTTGGCAAAGGGAAAAGATTGGCCAATGAATAATATTTGACTAAACAAAAAAAACCCTGTTGGTTTTATAGGGTGCTTTTACAACATTCATTTCTGAGTAATGCTCAAAGGAAGAAGAAAAAAGGAAAGTACAGAATTCCTTTAGTGCTGCAGCCCAGGAGCGAAAGGAGAACAGAGTCATGGCAGAGGGAGAGGAAGGCAGGCTGATGCTGCTGCAAGGCAGGTTTGGAAGGCAGACGATGGTACAGAGGGGAGGGCACTGCAAAGCATCTCCCATCAAACTTTGTCCTTCAAACAAACAGTGAACCTTAAAGGGACTGTTGTGATCACAAATCTGACCTTCTGGCTAACACGAACCTGTGAATTTCACCCTGTAATTCCACCATCAGATCCTGTAACTAACAGGTGAATTAGACCACATCTTTCGAAGGAGCTCTGATCTTACTGGACAATGTCACGTGGCTTTACATCCACCACTTTCCTCAGTGACTTGTTCAAATGACTAAAGACTGCCCCAGCTGCAACCTGTACTTCTTTTTCCATTTGACATTATCTGGTTTCAGCTTCCAATCATAGGCTCTTGTCATGACTCGTCTGCTAGATTAAAGAACTTTATCCTGCCAGAAATCTTCTCTTGATGTAAGTACTTCCATATCACGAACAAAACACCTTTTATCTCCTTTTCAGAAAGATAAATAAATTGAGCTCCTTAAGTCTCTCACTGTGAGGCAGGCTTTCCAAGCTTCAAATCACTCCATGGCTCTTCTCTGAATCATCTTCAAGTTTTCTGTTTCTTGTTGAAAAGTGGCCAGAACAGGATGAAATTACTCCAGTGTCACCAACGCTGCACAAGCTTATAAATCCAAGAGTCGTGTTAGTTTTTCCAGTCACAGACTAGAAACTCAGTTTCTGTTTGTCTTTCCTTAAACTCCCCTGTTCCAATGTGGCTTCCTTCTGAATTCTTCATGCATGCACCGACAAGAGGCACATATTTCTAATGAGCGTATAGGGGTTATGCTGCTTCTTGGTCCTAATTCACAGTCTTGCCTGATGACATCCTTCTCCTAAAACTCCGGATCGCCATACTGACTTCAGTATGTCTGCAGAAGCCTAGTTCAGTCTTCTTAAGCTCCAGAGAGCACATAGTCCCACTGCTCGTATCTTTGATTGAAAGGTCCTGAAATCCAATAGAAAGACTCTGAGTATCTTGTCAACTTACCTGGGTCAAAGGAGAAAGGGGGAATATTGGGGTCTTCATCACTACAGCCTGCATTGCCCCAGTCAGAAGGTGTGGACTCAGTGCACAAATTACTGGTTGAAATTCTATAGCTTGCTTGATGCAGGGTATTATCACACTGGGGTAACAGCTGCTTTTAATAACTATAAATCCACAACAGCATGGGTTCACATGGAACATAACGTGCTGTGAAATTTCTCATTTTCAGACTGATTTTGCACCGAAACCAACCATCTTCAGCTGAGTCAGTGGAAGTAGAGGGTGCTTAACACTGTGCAGAACTGGGTCAACAATATGATGCTTTAAGTTGGTTTTGATCTTCAAATCTTTGAGTGGTTTTCTTGTTAAAATGATGTATTTGGTCATCTTGCAAGACAGAGACCCATATATATGTTAAGTCGACTGAAAGACCCACTTTCTATATTCTAAATCAACTTCTCTGAAATACTTCCAGGCTATTTTTAAATGTCTTCTAAGATGCATCGATTATTGCACCGGAAGCCCTTCCCCATCGTAACTCTGGATCTCAAAATGAAAAGAGAGGGAAAGATTTACAAGCCTGTCAAGCTGACTTTAATACACCTCTTGCTCAGATACGACCCACATGACTTTACCATTGAGCCATTTGGAGTTGTATTGTGCTGTCCTAAGTGGGGGAACATTTCCAAGGCTGCGGTAAATAGCAGGATCCCGTCCAGAGAAATCAATTACAGTTGCAGCATAGAGTTCTCCTCGTGATGTAATCACAGCTGTCGAGTTATGACGAGGGTCGTACGGGCACCGAGCCACTCCATTAATTCTGTCAATGATTTTGCTAAGATTTCCTACCTGTATTTAAAAGGAGAGAGGAGAGAATTTAAAGAGCATCTGGCTTTCTTACTGGTATAAAGAATTCAGTTCGTCCACGAGTACCTACGAGCAAAACCCTGATTTTAAAAAAACAGGCAGCTATAAGAATGTAATGTCAGCAATGACTGTAAATTGATCTTTACATCCATCGTTTGCCAATGTAGTAAGAATGTAATGTCAGCGATGACTGTAAATTGATCTTTACATCCATCCTTTGCCAACGTAAGAAGTTGTGTCTGAGCCTCACTGATCCTATTGCTTTGTAAGAAGGGTAATTCCCCAGCCAATAAAGCCTCTAGGCCCCAACGCACTCAATGTAATCAGGTGCTCCTGCTGCTAGCACAGGTTTCTAATCTTCCATAGACACCTCCTGAATGCATACTGGCATTAAAAAATATAAAAATAAACATTGCTCTGGACCTGCTCCTGCCTCCCTTGAAGCCAAAGGGAGTTTTGCCATTTATTTTAAGGAAACATTTAAGTATTCAGCTTAGGAGGTACTCACAGCTAAGCTTGTCTATATTGCCCATTTTCAGCAGCATACCCAAAGTTTACATGAACAGCACTTTGTCCAGATCCAGCTCACCCATAACACAAGCTTTTTGTTCCCCACCTGCAGATACATCCACTGCCCCGAAGCAGCTCAAAGGGACCCAAAGAAGAAAACCAAAATAATTTCAGATAGCTACAGTTGAAACATATTCTCTGCCTCCGTGATGCCCTGCCAAATGACTGGCCTTCCCCAGAGCATGTATCCAGCCCTCCCTATCACTGTAAAAGACGCAAAACAGACCTGTCGACTGGAACACACCGGTGAAAAGGCATTGGTACCACAGGTAAAAACCTTCTTGCCATAAACAATCAGCACTCGGACATAGTTCTGGCACTCTTCCTATAGGGACACAAGACAGAGACAAAGGATTTTTGAAAAGGAGACTGTGGGGTTATTTATTACATTAAAAAAAATTACCTGTATTGCAGCTGGAATACACCTTCCTTAGCTCTAACCCGGACTGAGATTTGCTGCATCAAGCAGCGCACAGCTGTAGGGAGCTAGCAGTCTAAGTGAGCAAACCCAATTTGCTGGTTATTTCTCTAATCATAACCCTGCACAGTCCCTGGATAGGATGTTATCCATCAGGTTGACTCTGTATCAGCTACACAAGTGCCTCTTTCTGTGCTCTGCTTAGATTGGAGGAGGAATCCTCCCTCTTTTCATGATGATACTTCTGACCTATTTTTCCCAGCAATGCTGCAGCTTGGAAAACATTACCCAGACACAAACTCCAGTGAAGGACAGCAGGTCCGTCTGCACTATAATTCACACCAGTGCCAGCAGGAAAACAGCAGGAACTTCTCTTTAATAGACCAGGCTGGTCAGGAGAATCTCGTGCTTGAACAGGCTGTTACTTCCTGCCTCCCACAAGGATTGTGTGCTCAGGATTTTCCATGGTAGAAGGAGTTTATCTTTCAGGCCAGGCCATTGAGAAATAGCAAATCCCCTCTTCTCAGCTGCACGACCACAGACAGGCAACTCCCTCCACGTGTCAGTCCCCAAAGGTGTGGGGCTCCTGTCCCTCCACACTGGAGTAGGGCTGGCAGCACAAGGCTGCAGTTGGCTTCTTCAGAAAATCTCCTTCATGTTGTTGGAGAGCCACAGTCTTCCTCCCCACAGCCTCGTATCCAGAGACCTGTGGACTGCAGATCTGGCTAACTGAGCATCTCCGGGGAGTTAAGCAGTGGGGGAGGAAGAGGCCACATAAGGCAGGGACTTTCTAACAGTACACACAGGGAAAGGCAGTTGCGAGACTAGCGTGCAACTCCCACGGGCAGTGCAAGAGGCTCGAGAGCCGCCTGTCCCAAAGTTCATCCAAACAGCCCCGATGAGAGATGTACAGCAAGCCCGGCACCAGCCTGCCTGCCCTTGGCTCTGGAGTCACCTCAGAAGAAAGGATGTGAGCGATTGCTAATGACTGGCACCCACACGGCTCCAAGTGAGGGAAGTCTATTATATTCTACTGTAAACAGAAAAGGAAACTTGTTAAAAAATAACAACCTCAGCTGGGTTATCGTAGCTGTTTTGCTTTCCTCCCTCCAATAGATCATAATTTGCCACTAAGCTGAGCCTACAGCTGCAGACACTGCTGCTCCGTCCATAAGCAGCAATCACTCTGCGAGCTTCCCTGTCTCACAACGCTCCACACTGTTGATCATTTCCCTGAAGACTTCATTTGCAAGATTCAGCAGTGTAAAACACTCCCTATCATCTGGAAAGGAAGAGGGTCGCTTAGCTGGATTACGTACTATCTCCTTTCATTTGCTGTATGGAAATCAACTTGTTGAAGGACGGCATTTAGCAGAAACCCACTAGCATTAGCCGTAGACAAGCAACTGCATGGGGATGACATGTGGGGCTTGCTTTTGAACAGAGATCACAGGGAACTGCGCTCCAGAACCAGCCCAGGAGCACTCACCTAGCCCAGGTTGGGGCTACAGAGTGCCATAGAGCAGGTGCTGCCAGTCTTGAGTCTCAGCAGGGGCATCGGGGATCAGATACATAACGCCTGGCACCCAAAAATGAGAGCTTAAATTCATAGCTGGGTCTATTCAGCACTTCTTATTTCAGAAGCAGATCAGTCATGGTGACTGTGCATCCGTCTATCAAATAGGACTGTGAGAAGCACCGTCCCACCTACTGTGTGTTAAGAATAGAGGTCTCATGCTTTCTTTCAACAAGACAAAGGGCTTGCCAGCCTCTCTGCCCTCTCCTGTCATTATTACATGGTGTTGTGAGCCCTGTTAGTTATTCCCTGCCCTAGGGATGTCTGCACTTCATGAGTGGGTTAAGTAATTCCTCTTTCTTTAGAGCACAGTTACTCAATCCCACATAATACTAGGACCACTATATATTTAACTGCAAAGTACTAGAAATTCTTGAGGGGATGCTATAGAAAAAAGGTATGGGCTCCTCTCCCAACAGGGTTTTGTTTTCAGAATATGATTGATTTGGTGTCTAACCCAGAATGCAGCTCTGTACCCAAATTTCATACAATAAGAGGGTACCCATCTGTTCCCCCTCCACTTCCACGTTTCTCTGCTTTGTGCAGAGTCTGAGCATAGCTTCTGACCTAGACCAGCTAATACCATTTACGTTGCTGGACCCTTTCCTGCTTAGGTACTTCAATATATTCCTAAACAAAACCCTGTCCTGCAGAAATCTAAAATCCTAATTTGCAGGATTCTCTTCTTTGCACAGAACTATATTACAGATTATCAAACTTCAATTTCTATAAAAGTCTTCCTAGCTGAGAAGCTAGCACACAAAAAAGCATTTCCCCGTGAGGTCATGTGCTGGATGGTCTTCTGGAGTCTACTGGTGAGGATGCATCTGTTGCACACTATACTCCAAGGCATAGCAGCCTGGCTTGGTAAGGACACTGGAAGCTGGTAAAATATTGTGTTATTTTAGCCTAATTAAGCACGGGTTTATTTGTACCCATTCAGTCCAAAGCAGAAGTTATTTACTGAAACAGAGGAGAAACCATACTGAGCAAATATATCTGCTGCTGTCTGAACCTGCACGTGAATATTTCATCTGTGACTTCCAGTCCATTCCCAACTGCGGTAGCAAACAGTAGAAGAGCACAGTCAGTAGGGGTGAGGTGTTAGACTGGAAACATTTGACAGCTGATACTTTTGAGGGAACTGGGTACACCAAGCCCACTAATTATTTCATTGGCTGTAAGCAGCAGAAACTAGGGTGACTGGTGGATGTTTTCTACTCTGCTTAAATAATGATGCTACTAGGTGTGGGCCATATCCAACCGTAGTTGTTCCTAGGATTTAACTGTGTAGGCGTTTTCCCTGGACCTGCCTTACTGATGACGGTAACAGCGCTCCATGCTCCTGGAGGAAGAGCAATGATAATATGTACGTTTCATACACTGGTCTCAAAGCAATTTATAAAGCTTAAAGTAATGTTCTGAAACAGATGTACATTATCTGCCCTGTTCTCTCAGCTGGGTAATTGAAACATGCAGGTGCTAAAGGACTTGCCATGGTGACACACTGACTCAGAGGAGATGCTGAAGGACAGCAACAAAGGTCTAACTACCAGACCACATCTCTCTAACCTGCCTAAGCCTGAAGAGGAATACTGTGCTCATCTCCTATTTCTTATTGCTGTACCCACTGCCAGTCATGTCAGTCTATGAAAACCTCCAGCAAAAGCAAAGAAGAAACCAAACCACTTAAATGCTCCAGCTTGCAGGATTTTTCTCAAGACATCATTGGTGAGATTTATATTAGATCCTCTTTCTACTCTGTTCTCAAAATAACTAGCGAGGAACAGCCTCCTCTCTGTGTTCTTTAAACCAGCCTGGATTTGCTCCGAAGTCATTCAACACGCTGCACTCTGCAACAATTTGTAGCTGAGGCAACTGGTTGGTAAAATGGATCTCACAAACCCGTACAGAAAATAGGAGCTATTTAATGCAATTTCTTCCATGTGGCTGGAAAACTCTAGGCGTGCAGGAGGCAAAATTCAGATGGGCTTTAATATAGCCAGAAAATTTGGCAAGCTTGAACCCAACTCTGTCCAGACGAGACAATGTTTGGATCCTGCTCTCACATTATGGAGCAGACAGTTAAATCTGTGTATGATCAGTCTACAAATCTCATCACCAGAAGATACTATTGGGATCAAGAGATTAAGGATTTAAATAAAGGTGGAAGACTGGGAATTTATATGGTTAATGAGAATAACCCAGTTATATTAGTTGGGATTATTATTAAATATATGCCAGAGCTGATAAAAACCTGTGGCTCTCTGCAAGAGCATATCTCCGATTTTCCTACGAACTGCATGTTACCCACTTTGGGGTTCTTGCTCCTTCCTCAAAATTACCTGGTACTGGTTCTTTTTTTGAGATAAGACCTTAAATTGAGCAGATATCACTTTTCTCCAGTCTAATGACTCTTGTTTTCCGAGAAAGGAAGAGTACATGACATCTAATGCTCAACCCTACAGGGCACAGGGTCTCACTGTCACCAAGAGAATAAACTTCACTGAAGCCCCTTCCTCCCATCTCCCCCTGTTTAAGCCTAACCTCATTTATTTCATTTTTTGCAACATTGAGATTTAAATGTGTCTGTCTGTGAATGCTGTAATGTCCACGACTGTGGACAGGACCAGGCCTCTTTCTAGCTCATAGAGATGTCAGGCTGCTTTGAAAGCACATTTCAAACCTGAGAACCGAGAGTGGTGCCCTGTTACTCCCTTCATTTGTGTGGACAGATCAGCAAATAGAGGGGTTGAACTCCTGCCGGCTTCGGTTTGAGGTAAAATTTAAAAAGACATTTTCAGGATGCTGCAAATAAGCTAGCTGCAGGTGCTTCTGGAGTCGTTTCTTCTGTCATCTCTGAACACTGGAGTTCTGCAATGTTATAAGCCCTTAATCTCATTGTACAGATGTATTTTTCCTTGAAAACATAACTATATATAGGCACTACTTTAATTGGCCTTTTATTTTGCATAAACCACTCAAGCCCTGTTGTCAGAGTTCTCCTTTCTAATTCTTTTTTTTTTTTTTTTTAGGCTAAAACTATTTCATCACATACCAATCTATTTTAATCTTAAATTAAAAACACAGTTACATGCTGTATGAGAAAAATAGCTGTTTCAGATGGTCTGCCATCCTCAATAAAGACACACAAACTCCTATACTACAACCTGGAGTTCAGAGAATCAGCCAGCAGAACTCCATGTTACCTCTTCAATGACATTTTGGAGAGCAGCAAACATTTAATTCATCTGTTGCAGTTCATCCCAATTTGTTAAAAAATAATCAAGACCTAACATGTTCTCGAGCACTGTTATTAACACACTTTCAGATATCTATATTTATTTCTTTGGACAAACAATTATTTTAATCAGTTTAAGCCAATTCCCTGACCAAGTTGTCTTTCTCCTTCAAGTGCAACAGATAGCAAAGAGAATTGCTAATGATTTTTCCAGCCAAGTTTTCTTTAATGGACTTCAAATCAAATTTGGGGGCTGATTCTGCATTCTACTGGGAAAGTAGGCTCAGGTCTCTAGGAACAGTTACAAAGGGAGGAAAAATACCTGACCGCCTCCCAGTTATTTCTATTTGCTTGGGGATTTACATGGTGCCTGTCCTACCTGGATGCCTATTATTTGTAAGTGGCGTGGAGATTCCCAGCTCCACTAGATAACCCGAGGGCACATCCTCTGTGTGACACACAGCCACTTGAAGGCCTAAACCAGCCGATTCCTCCATTAGCTCAGCAATTTCTGCACCAAACCCATTTAGTTGGGCTGAAGCTTTGGCTTAGGATTTCCCTGTAACCTTGTGTGAATCCTAAGACCCCCCAGCATCAGAACATCATACAAGAAAAGGAAGAAACTATTCTGGCAATATGGTGGGACAATCGGTAGCTGGATGCCCATCAGATGTTTCTCTCGGTTCTTTCTTGCTCCAGAAGTGTTATTAGTGTGTCATCTTTCTCCTAGCTACACAAAGCTCTTAGGACAGCACGTAAGAGCTGCCACTTTCACTGCCATTTTCACAAATGGTTCCCTTTCACGTTTTGAAGTGATGGTGTGCTGCTTTTGGAAAGTTAACAAATAATTCTGTGCTTAGAGAAGAGAAGGATCAAAGTGCTCATGTTTGGAAAGCCATAACTTTCCATGTCAGGCAAAATTCCTTAGATGTGGTGGATGTGGACTGTTACGCAGAGACAGACGAATTACAAACTAGAAGCCGAGCAACTCCTAATGAAATTAAATAGACCTCTTCCCTTTTTGCTCTATCCATCACTCATTTTAACTACAACCTCTGAGAGATTTCGTTTGGAAGACAGAAGGAAAGGCAGCATAACACTGACTTTGTTCTCTGCATTGTCTCTCAGTAATGTGGGTGTTTTTCAGGGGACAATTTTAAGGTGCTGGTCACGATACATTTTATAAATGCTGAAAAAATGATTACTCATGGAAGCCAGCATGGATCTCCAGAGACATGGCAAGTAAAGTATGTACAATTCCTTGAGGAAACCACAAGTTTTAGATGACAAAAATAACATAAATGAAAGAGACTTTTCTGAGGTGTTGCTTTTAATACCACATGATATATTGCAGAGAGTTAATTTTAAAATCAGGTTCAAGAACTTATACATTAATGGATTAAAATCTGATAAATTACTGGGCTGAAAAAAGTCCTCAGAGTGAAATAATTCATAAACTTGCTATTCTAGCAGGGCACCAGATGGGGTGGTACTAGCCCAGCATCAACATTTTTCTTAACAAACATTTGTGCATAACCCAAAGATTACAAAAATACTGATTACCAGTGAGGCCAATGCCTCACTATATATATATTGATATATTCTAGGATGGTTGGTGAGCTAGACCCAACAAACAAAATATATTTTTGTAAGATATTATGTATTAAAGAGCAAGGAACAAAAGGGCTCCATGTATAGACTGGAAGATTACATCCCAAGACTAGCAACTGTGAAAAGGATTTAGTGGTCACAGTGGCTAGGCAATTCTGCATGATCTCCTATGGCAGAAAAGCTTATGAAACTGCAACATGTATGAACAGAGGAGGAAGACTGTTTTAATCACACTCAGGCATTAGAGAGATTGACAAGGGAATACAGGTGAAAAATTGGAGTTCGCAGAAAACAGACGAAAAATATTCGAGGGCAGTAGAAAAATGACTTAGAGAAAGAAGCTTGGAGAACTCAGTATTTTACTTTATTAAAAAGCCTAAGTACTGATTTGACAGGAGCATATAAGTGCCTTTGTAAAAAATAAATATTGGCAACTAAAGGGCTCTCTAATCTAGCAGAGAAGGGTAAAATGAGACCCAGCCACTCAAAATTGAAGCCAGATCCAAAGAGGAAATAAAGTACATGTTGTTAACAGGGAAGGTGATCTGCCATTAGAACAAGCCAGCAAAACACACAATCAGCCCACTTGGGTCAGGCCTTCAGTTCAAAACTTCTTCCTTCCTCAGAAAGGTGCAGCAGTCAAACACAAGTTACTGAGCTCAATTTAGGAATAAGCTGCTGAAATTTGTGGCCAGGGCTACACAAGGTGTCAGAAGAAATGGTACCTTCTAACCTTAAATCTGTGACCCAGATTTCTCATCTCCCTTTTCTCTGACCAATAGATACTCAAATGTGGAGTAGCAATCATGCCATAATAATTATATTTCTGCAATATGCATTTTGTGGCTTTTATTCTTGCACTTCTTATTTTCCTTATGGTAAAGCTGTAAGCATTTTAGGAAGAGATTTTCTCAGCAGCAGGGAGAATCTGATTTAGATACTCGACAGGCATAAGAATGAAGGGGGAAAAAAGCATTTTAATACACTAGGTGGCTTTGAAAACCTCACCCTAAAATACATATATTATTAAATGGGCAAGGAAAATGGACCGGTCGTATAACTTATGCAAACTATGCTGTGAATTACTGTAAGAGCCAAAGGTCGTCCTTATTTCTAGCCTCTACCACCACATATCTAAGTGCCTGACAATCCAGAACATATTTATCATCAAATCATCCATGCTAGCTAGAAAACTGCCACTAGTCAAGTTTTGACAAAGCAGAGCTGAGCCAGACAGAGCTCTGCACCTTGTACCACCATTGCACAGCAGAATCAGAAATGTTCACATTAGTGCTGCCTTCACTTGCTGCATTTACCTAGCCAAGGGCAGAGATGCTGGGTCAGAGCTGGACTTCTTAGCTGGAGTAGAGCACTTCACCAGCTGGCTAGGCTAAACTCGGTATTTTTGGAGCTAGTGCTAAGTCATTTCTCTGCAGTGTAACAAACAATGACTGTGCAGACTCGTCCCAAGAGGGCCTCAGCCATGGACAAACAGGTTAGAGTGGATACAGACTTGGGAGATCCGAGTTTACTTAGTTACTGCAGAATCCTTCTGCCTTTGTTTGTAGCTTCATGTCTTCTTGTCAGACTCTTAGTCAACACTTCTGTTTGCCATTAATTGTATGCCAAAATGTGTCTAACAATCTGCTTAATTATTGTTCCTCAGAAATTCACACCCATGGCCACTGCGCCCACCAAACAATTTCAAGCTCTGGATCACAAGCAGCATAAACTCAGCTGTTCAGAGCATTATCCTCATGAAATTTTTGGCAAACTCTTTGCAGTGTGAGGAGGCAGCAGCAGTGAAGATACTCAGACCATTGCTTGCTTTTGGCATGACAGTAAAAAAGATAAATTGAAATTATCCTAGAATTTGTTCAGTCAAATGCATGGCTTTATCCACGGGTTGACAAAATAATTCTGGGTTATAAATTCAAATTATTCAGGAACAATAGGATACAATTTAAATCTCACAAACTTTACAATGTAAGAAAAAAGGAAAATCCTTTCTTTACACATTTAAAAGTACAGACTACAAATTCAAAAAATCCTCATGTCTTGGGTTTTGGAGTTTTTTAATTTTGTCCAACTTCTATTGGGTTCTGCTTCTCATGGCTGGCCATGTTTGGTGTTCACCCAGCCCAATCCATTTTGTGCCTCCATGGTGTTTTCCTGCATAACACGGATCTTATATGAAACTCGAACAGATGTTCTAGGATATCCATACTCCTGTTCTGCACTGCCACATGAAGCAAATTGTTGCCTATCCGGCAAAATTCAAGCTAGCTTTTTTGTGTATATACAAGTTAATACAGTAATCACATAAAGTTTATTATATAAAATGAATGTGGTCAACGGAAGATCATATAATCCTCTGTTTAAAGCACTGAACTAGAACTTGGCAGAATTCCAGCATTTTGGGCCAGCCACACAATCACTCTCTGCTTGACTGTCCATGTCTAAGCAAAGATCGTGCTTATCCTCTCTTATCCTTTGTCCAGCTCCTTTGGTTTAGACTGAGAACTCTTTGTGGTGTAGTATTAAGGACAATAGGACACTGTCTCAGTTGAGGCCTGAAGATTTTTGAACAGTAAAAATATTTCAAAGTATTTCCTGCTTTTTGATAGATGGCTTTGTTTTAGTTTCTCAGAAGAGGGGCAGAAAGGACCTGTGTTTGGATCAGAAATGCCTGCAAACTCTGAACTTCTGGGACGGCATGCGTTGGTTCAAGCAGTTCTTACTTTAAACTGCAGTTTAGCAGGCGGCACCTGCCTCTGAAGGAGCTCTGTGATATTACACCTGAACAGACTTCAGTGTGCTAGCGGATTCAATTTGCACGTTCAGGCGAATTATACAAAGATGAATTCTAACTGCAAACAAGCATTGAAGCCCACGTGGCCGAATGCCAGCAGCTCACTGCTGAGTACCTAGACTAAGCCAACCTGTCCAGCCTCAGATCCCACTGCAAGATGTTACCCCTGGCTTGCCACCACTCTGCTCCTTGACGTGTCACAAATTGTGTCCTCTCCAGCAGTGAAATCAACTTTAAATTTCATGCAGAGCAAGTCTAATAACTTGGACAGGGGGCCTTTGAAATGGCTTGCTCGGTGGTGCTTATACACTTGTGGTGGTAGAGCTAAACTGCTGCAAATTTACAAGCTCAAGCTGGTGTCAGATGTTCCCTGTGTGGATTTCACATGATGCAAATGAATTTACCCATAGCATCATTGTAGCAAAGCAAAACTTACCTCTGTTTTCCCTTTACTTTGACAGGACCTCCTGGTGTCTTCATCTGAACCCCATGCTGTTGCCTGAGAAACCAAAATGCACAAGTCACATGACAATGCCACCAACCACCATGTCTGGAGACTCCCAAAACAAGAGCAAGTATCTCCAGCCAATTTACACAGCCCAATTTAAAAGCAGCATTGTGACGGTAAACATGTATCTCGCTCCCACTGTGCTCACAGTGCACACAAATGATAAATAGATGAGAAGTCCAGAAGCAGAAGCAACTGGAATGTTAACAGAGGACAGACTTTAATTTACATGTAAATACAACTTCTGATCATCATTCAGCTGGAAGGTCCAACACATAAGCCCACACACCGAGCCATCACCTTCTTTTCGGAGAGGACAGTGCTGTATAAAACCACCAGCTTTCATCACCAAAATGAAAACCTTCCCTACAGCAAAGTCCAGTAGTTCTGCACAAATCTGCTGGCCTCCTTAAATTTACCCACAAGATTATCACTTTCTAAGTAATCCTGCAGTGAAGTGAGCTGGATAAAACAACAACTGGGAGCTGACAGGGGAAACCTGGAGAGACGGGAAGCAGGGAGAAAAGTTGGATGGTGATTTGTGATGCCAGAAAAGTGGGGTCAGATCCTGAGGCAGAGTAAAATGCATTAGGGCTGAGAGCACGTGGGATCCCCAGTTGGCTCTGACTGGCTGCTTCAGAGCAAAGAGGCCCCTTCCTTTGCAAGAAAAGTCAAGACCAGCAAGGCTGGATTAGAGAGAACTTTTAGATTTAAAATATTCAGCAACATACCTAACCATTCAGTGCCCTCTGCAATTTTCCTCCCTTCAGCACTTTTTTAAAATAGTCCTAACAAATTCAAGCAGGTATTGTTAGCTGGAGGTGAAAATACGTATAAACATCCATACTATACATAATACATCATTCTGAGTACAAGAAAAATAGCTCTGTTTTACACATGGAAGGACCAGGCTCGCAAAGTTCAGATACAGATCCAAAGCTCCCCTAGAAGAGCCAGGGTTTCTTTTTTTTTCCCCAGTCCATTACCAATGCAGGAAATGGCTTCAAAGTTCGGTCCGGATCTGAACTCTTCTTGAACCTTCTCACTGCAGCCAATACATTTTTTTAAATTCTGGGCTTCTACAGAAATTGTCCCCTTGACACATGCTAAATCCTGCCTTTTACAGGGGAAAGATGGGAGACCAATAATAAGAGGGGAAGAATTTTCCCACCCCCAGCTCAGGTCCATGAACACACTCACTCAGAAGCACAAGAAATACCACCACCCAGGAAATGCATTTATACACAACATTTGGGGAAGGGATATTTCTACCTCATTCAAAAAAAAAAAAAAAATTAAAAAAGGTATCTTCTCCACTAGCTGAGCATTCAGTTCAATTTGGCTTGAAGTAGGACTTTATGAGCACAGGCGAAGATTTGTTGGGAGAAGGGAAGAGCACAGATCTTTCCCCGGGAGTCACTTGGGAAATACCTCCCATGCACTGCGGTCCAATCCAGGCTGAAGCCAAAAGCTTGTGCCTCAGAAGCGTTTTTGTGAGAGCTGGGATAAGTCCTTGCTGGAAAGGGTCATTTAGCCATATCCTGAGAGGGGATATGTCACTGGATGAGAGAGCTCACCTCGATAAGCCATCACAGGAGAGCAAGGAATTTTGACTGGTGACTCCCAGGAGCCCCTGACATCTGCAAAACAACTGCAGAGCAGCATTTTGACCCCCAGTCCCAAACCTAGCCCATATTCGCCTAACCACAGTATCCTTGCACCTTGGATCAATTTGTGACAACCTTAATAGAAAAAAAAAAATCCAGAAAAGAGACAGCTTATTAGGTGGCTCTTCTTCCCATTTCAAAAACAGAGACAGCACTCTCTATTATACAGCCAAGTTTAACTTAGCAGTGCTTGACAGGACAAAATGAAAACAAAAATCATTGGTTACTTCAGCAGTCGATGCTGCTTCTCTGCAAATACTCTGGGTCTTCTGGGATTGCAGCAATGCAACAAAGAATTTGGCCTCCTAGGGGACACCTAGCTCTTCCTGTCAGACACCTGCACCGCAGGGCTGAGGCATGTTGTAAACATAGCACATGTCAGAGCACCGGTCCCCTCCAGCTATGTTCTCCGTGCCTAAATATTTTCTTTTATGAGGCAACACTGCCCTTCAGCTTTCTGAAGCAGTACCTTGATGAGTTTACTGATAACAGAAGTTCTTGGTGACGGCCCAAATTATAGGAACATGTTGTTTGTGACTGCACCATTAGTCAGGGTGCACTTCATTAGAGCTAAGAGGATAATTAAGCAATATGGCAATCCAGAGCATGTTTTACAAGTCCCACATGTCTTTGGTGGGACAGGGAGGAGCTAGTTTGAGGGCTGAATAACTCCAATGACCTCTAGTGACTCAAAGAAAATATTCATGACCCTGCAAAGCAGAACATCTTGTCAATAATAAAAACATAATTGCAAAGCCAAGGAGCTAATGTGTGTTTAAATAATCGCACTGCAAGGTATGAACATGCACCAGTCAGCTGACCTACAGCCTAGGCAAGTCCTTCTGCTGGGCTCCCAGGAGCCAGCACACATCTATGCTCATGGCCTCTGGGTTGGGCCTGGTAAGAGGTCCTGGGCAGGCTCAGACCTCTGAGCTTGGGGCTTTCACAGGAGCTTTCCAGCATTGTTGGGTTTCTTCACTTAACTGATCAGCTGTCTTTTCAGATCACAGTTTCCCACTCGTCATCTCTGTTGTCTTGGGCTTCTCTGTGCAAACTCCTTGTGTAATGCTGCTGCTCTGCTTCCTGCATCTCACTGGTATGTCCAACCCAAGCCCATCCTTGCCAGATGAAATTTTATTCCTCTGCCTTAGATTCATTTTGCCCCAGCATCAGACTACATCCTGGACATTTGACAGAGAAGTCTTTGGAAAGATCTCTCTCTTCTGGAGTACATCTGTGTGCACCCATTTGTTTTGCAGTGAGGCAGAGACCTACTTAACACTTGTGTAACACTACAGCACTGTAAGGGATGCTTTGTACTTTTGCCTCTTGATCATAACGCTTCTCAATAGCCAGCTTCTTGCACACTGACTTAGGTGCCTCCCCTCCCTTTCCTCATCTCCCTCAGTAAACCTAATTAATACTATTGCTTTTTATTGCTGAAAGCTGCCTCTGCATGCCTGGATGAGGTACAAACAGTATCCACCAGAAGTTCTCCGTCACTCAATTGGGTCATCATCCTGAATTTATGATTTATTTTCTCAGTTGCCTGAGACATTATCAATGGGCCGACACCAACTGTATGAGGTTCAACAAGGCCAAGTGCCGGGTCCTGCACTTGGGTCACAACAGCCCCATGCAGCGCTACAGGCTTGGGGAAGAGTGGCTGGAAAGCTGCCCAGCAGAAAAAGACCTGGGGGTGCTGTTTGACAGCCGGCTGAATATGAGCCAGCAGTGTGCCCAGGTGGCCAAGAAGGCCAACGGCATCCTGGCCTGTAACAGAAATAGTGTGGCCAGCAGGAGCAGGGAGGTGATTGTTCCCCTGTACTCGGCACTGGCGAGGCCGCACCTCGAGTGCTGTGTTCAGTTTTGGGCCCCTCACTGCAGGAAAGACATGGAGGTGCTGGAGCGTGTCCAGAGAAGGGCAACCAGGTTGGTGAGGGGCCTGGAGCACAAGTCTTATAAGGAGCAGCTGAGGGAGCTGGGGCTGTTTAGCCTGGAGAAGAGGAGGCTGAGGGGAGACCTTATCGCTCTCTACATCTACCTGAAGGGGGGTTGTAGTGAGGTGGGTGCTGGTCTCTTCTGTCAGGTGGCTGGAGATAGGACGAGAGGAAATGGCCTCAAGTTGCAGTAGGGGAGGTTTAAATTGGATATTAGGAAAAATTTCTTTACTGAAAGGGTTGTCAAGCATTGGAACAGGCTGCCCAGGGAAGTGGTTGAGTCACCATCCCTGGAGGGACTCAAAAAGCAGGTAGACAAGGCACTCCAGAACATGGTTTAGTGGGCATGGTTGAGGGTTGGACTTGATGATCTTGAAGGTCTTTTCCAACCTAAATGATTCTATGAGTCTATGATTTAAGTTTCCCAGCTCCAGAAAACACATCTGGGATTATTTTTGTACCTCCTGCTACACGTCAGTCAAAACCAGTAGAGTAGACACTACTGGACCCATGCAGCAATAAAACAACTTTCATGGCATGGGTCATGGAAAACAGTCTGGATGAAGTTGTGACAAACCTGGGAGCACGGCTACATACAAACACAGGACAGTATGTACTTTCTCCTAGCTGCTTCCCTACTTGCCATGTGCTTAAGCAACCAAGCAAACACTTTTCTAGGCTGTCAGGACATCAGCAATTCCTCCCCTTACAGCCTTACCAAGAGCACTCCAGCTCCTCATGCTATCTCCTTACAAGCTCTCCAGCATCTCTTCCCTCCTGCATTTCCAGAGGAAATGCAGGTTCTAACAGTGTTCCCAGCCACTTTGAAGACCTCCCCTACAACCACACGGCCCATGTGCAGAATGGAGGAAGACCAGATTCATATGCCCTACAAATGAAACAACCAGCTCAGTGCTGCAGCTGCTGTGTAAGACAAGAGCCATGCAAACCATGAGCAGGACTGCCCAGCCATCTGTGCAGACAGGCACGAGAGTACTAGCAACTTTTTCTATGAACTGAAAATGCAATTAAATGTGCCTTCCATTCAGCCTATTTGCATGGACACCTGGTTCTTCACATCTCTATTTCTGTCCTTGAGTTCTATGCAGGCAGATTTTCTCAATTGAAAAAGAGGGGGGAGGTTGTGTGTTATCTCTGCATCTTCAGGAAGTCACATGAAGGAGAACAATCACAGGAGAAGCAGTCATGTGTACAACCATGTGTACCTGGTGCAACACTGCCCAACTAGAAAATAACAGAAATGGGCCACAATGGCTAAGCTCTCTGCAGATCTAAATATTCAAATGTCACACTCAGACACAGAAAGAAAGAGTTAATGTCTCCTCTAATAAATTATGAGCATCACGGTTTGCTCCCAGTTCAG